GGTCAGTTTAATGTTAGTGCTTAATCGCTCACTTTTAAATGGGGATTATATTCTTATAAATTTTCTGAAGGCCTTGGCTTTGATAGTATTGTAACGTGTTTTGCCACCGAAGACGGCGTTCGTATTGTTAACTGGTTTATTTAACATCCTACATGACTTGGCTACAATTAATTATAACACTGTTACGGGTTTAGACAATTTACAACCCTACACAATAATCTGTCCACTCTACCTTCTGTAGTCTACACGTATTCACAGTACGATACGGGAGCTATACCAATGCCATAGTATTACACACTTCAAATTCTATTGTGAGCGAAGCATCTGCTTCTCACACTATCACTTACGTTCCTGTATTCTTTCCGCTGCACCTGAACTCGGCGACTGTTCCAATTCAACTGTCTCCTAATCACACACTGCTCCTTATTTATCCTCGGAATGGACAAGAGCGGACAATAGAGAACAGTGACGTAATAGGCGCCGGTGTTTACTTCCAACGTGGTTACCGCGTGTCAGGAAACATGTCACATGACTAGCGTTGTTACGTCCGTTTGTGATGAAGGGGGAGAAGTGTTCACTGCCTGTTACCGGAGCAACGGCAGCGATCAAATGCCAACACGTCACCGCAGCGCGGGAGGGGATGTCAACCATAACACATTGTTTCACAGTATATAAGTGTAATCGCCAAGAGGCTTTCTTATCGAAGATGGCGTCGAGATATTTTACACTATTTACAGTTTGAACGTTTCGTCCATTCAGGGTAAGATGGGAATCAGGCGGTCGACAACTGTGAGAGAGGTATATTCCCCGAGTTTTATTATAGTTAATTTTGATATTCCAGCGCTCACACCAGGTCACAACTGAGCTGAGACCACGCTGGAGTTTCCTGACAACAAAACCCTTCTTTAGATGTGACTGATCGACCGTCAGTCGCAATGTGACTTTGACTTGTACTTCTACTACTACTACTTGGTAGCGCCGGGAATCGAACCCGGACTTCTGTATCTGTATCCAGGTTGATGTGCCATTTCAGAAGCCACAAGCCTTCTGATAATACGAGGGAAAGTAAAAAATTATCAGCACTTTCGCCATAACGCATATTTGGTTTGTCCCACTGCCTTCTGTGCGTGCATGCATGTCTGCCTTCTTAGGGTTGGTTCTACTGTGGTCACGTGGGTCACGTGATCAAAGTTTGCCATTTCGTCAGATTCATTTGATGTGTAAAGTTTCCAGCTGTAACTTAGATAATTGCTAAAATATGATTGTGTGTTGTGTTACATTGTTACAAGGTGTAGGTCCAGCAACCATTTTAGTAAAAAAAAAAAGGCTCTCTTTGAAACATCAAATTGCTATGCACAAGAATCACTACAAGACAGAGAAGTAAAGTATCCAATAGGGCCGCGCCATAGCTCAAGCGGTTAGTCGTTGGCTTCCC